GAAGAAATGTTTGTCGTCTTCATGACAACGCTCGACCGCATGTGGAGAATTTGTCTCGTCATAAAATTGCCGAACTTGGATGGGAAGTGCTGCCCCATCCTTCTTATTCGCCAGATCTTGCTCCGTCCGATTACCATATTTTTCTTGCTTCAAAGCATCATCTTCGCGATAGAAAATTTGATAATCGCTCGGAACTCGAAACTGAGATTTCCAGCTTTTTCGAATCGCGGCCGCCGCAGTTCTGGGCTACAGGAATCAAAAAACTGGTGGGTCGCTGGACATATGTTGTGGACTACTCTGGAGACTATATTACTAATTAAGATCCTCTTTTAATGAAAATAAGACTTTTTGAAATGAAGATGAAAAACCGAACAAAACTTTTTACTCAACCTAATACATTATGGCCATTTTGGTGCGTACTGAGGTGTTGAGGGATGGCATGGTTTACACCACTTTGGAAATAGTAGCACCCATCAGTATTCCCGGAAAGAACAGTATCATCTTTCTCTTTATCTTCATCTATATGTAGAACAGGGAAAAAATTGCAAACATACAAAAGAATCACGCGACATTGTCTAAATTAATGCTTGTTCATAGTCATTGTTCTTTGTGTTCTGTTAAGTATTTAAGCGTTATGATTCAGAGTACTGGAGGATTTTACAAAAACATCAAGGTGGGCATTATTAGTTTTATAAGCTACCCATAAAAGTTTTATGGTTCTCATCATATTAAAATAAAACCCTGCGTTATTCCTGTTTTAGAAGACCGAAACCACTGCCTGCGCACCCAACAATGTCAACTATCCAGTTCGTAGGCTATGCACCGAATCCTCGAGCTAACACTCCATTGGCGTATTTCAATGTTGTTCCGTATTATCTGGACGGACAAGAAGCTTGTGGTATGCTGAAACCGCTAGATAGTTTTAAATTCAGCATCTGTTTTGTCTTTGTAGAGGTGGAAGATTCTCCCGGGCCTGTTGTTATTCCACAGTTTTATCGGAAGCTGGAGATTCGCCGTTCTCGCAGTGGTAGGCTCGATGATAATACAGTCTTAAAATATAACAAGACAGACTATGTGCCAATGGAGAATGTAGCATCCAGTAACATCATAAATCCTATCGTGCTGGTACGTTCGTTTCGCATTCAAAAATATTTTTTTTTAGTTCATCTCGTGTTTATATGGGTAGTTACGCATATTTAGTAGTGATGGTATGGTAATTCAAATCACAGCATAGGATTTTCAACTTTAATTTTGTGCACCTTTTCCATAGCACCTCCTTATGACTTCTTTGTTTTGATTAACGTTCATGCCAGAAAACTGCCCATTTTGTAGAGTTTAGTTCGTCTTGGACAATTACTCTAGTTCATTACCAATGGGACCGTCGAATTGAATTTGCTCTCAATGTTGTATTTGCAGATTCTGTTCCATATCGCCGCTCTCCGTAATGTTATTCTTTCACACATCTGTGAGGATGAGCACTGCATAGTATGTCAGCTAGACTTCGTGTTTAGGATTATCAGTGATAAGCGAAAATCAAAGGAGGCTGCGGCGGTAAGTGTTATTCATTCTGGAAAAGGTCTATCAGGGAGAAGTGAGTAATGAAGTGCATGAAAGTTTAGTGCACAAATCTAATCCGTTCACTCGTCGTCTCTGGTGCTGCGCCAGTGGTAGGACCAGTGCAAGTAACAACGCAGAACTTATTTTCGTATGTTATGAATGCGATGAATAAGGTAACACTTTGATATTTGAAGCTAAAATACGGCTTCTATAGTGCTGAGTAGCTCTTTCCAGTATAGTAATATTATGCAATAAGTGCTTGAATCCATTTAGACTCAAGGAAACATTTTGCGGTATCCAAATAATACGTTTTTTTTTTTNNATGATAATATCACATGTGTGCAACATTATTTTCTTTACTTCTAAAGTCCTACTCAATTCCCTTAGCACAGTGGAGTTTGTTGTGTAGCAGTTCTGGTTGCTGCTCTAATGCTCCCTTGAGCACGGTGCGTCTATTCGAAGTTTGCAGAGATCGATTGCCGAAAATGGATGGGGCAAACTCGCGGCAAATTCCGCATGTACTCGCGCGGGTCTCGAGCGCTTGTGTTACTACCATCGTCGGTGCGTCAGTAGGGGAAGGTGGCGACATGGAGAAATAACTGTCGCATTTCGCTCGCATATGCCTACATACGATTCTAGTGAAGTCCATCGTCGCAGGGAATGGTTCAGTGGTGTATTTTTCGAGTCTTCTTGGACTTTTTCAGTGCCAGAATACAATCAGCTGGAACACTGTTAAAAAGTAGCGGATTATTTTGATGACCACATTTATCAACGCTTTATATTTGAAACATTTATGTCTTTATACTTGAAGCATAAATAAAATATTATGATTCGGTAACCACGAAAACTCCCTCTACAGTCTTTAGTTTTATCTCAATGTGAAAAACTTATACATTTATATTTTCTTCTAGTCTATGGTCGGAGAGGAGCGGCAGAAACTGTCTGATATCTTGGAGTCTGACCTAACAGTACTATCGCGGTGCATCCGATGTGGGGAGTTGAATGGATCTGACGAGAAGAAGATCGTCATCTCTTTGAATTATCCCGAAGGTATTTTTTCGCTGAATTACTTTTGATTTAGCCCTAGCTTTTCTTTTTTAACGCCTATGCTGTAAAACCAGGTTTAGCTGCTGAACAAAGAAGCATGAGCTATCTTTTTGAGAAAGCTCTACATGCAAAGGGACAACGTCAAGGGCCATGTGAATCCTGTGCAGTGACCGTAAGTTTTACATTCATCAATTCAACAAAAGAAAAGTTTTTGTTTTTCTAAGCATTATTGTCTTCCCTCGAATAGCGTTACAAACGTTTTAATATAGTAATTGGGCATCTTTCAATGAAATCTATGGTTTCTATGTTCCTTCGTACCTATTATTTGAATCTGTTGTAGACTCGCATGGATGACACCAGAAGGGTTCAGAAGCTCGCACCGATACTGCTGTTCGACATGAATCCATCTAGCCCAAAGTACATGGAGTTTTGGGAGAAACAGCTTAAGGTATGCCTTGCTTTATGGGGTTACCTCTCATACCAGAGTTCTTTTTATAATTTCAAATTTTTTTATTTGCTGCCGTACCTGTGTGCTTGCTTTTATGCTGTATTTCCATTATTAAACATTTTAAACAGCTTTCCGAATCTCGACCGCGTTACCGTATCCCTGAAAAGGAATGCTCTCTAGAAGGTGGTGGACGAACAGAAAGGCCATGCCGATATGGACAGGAGTGTAGGAACAGGCACGTATCTTCAAACATATTGTTGGTATCAAAATCCGCGTGACTAAGCTAATAATATGACTGATAATTGGTTTGCAATTTGTGAATTCGACCAGGACGGTTTGTTGAAGCTCTGGACTATTTAAACCTATGTGCGCTTTCGCTATCTCTGCTTTACCTTGTTTTCGATATCTCATTGTTTCGTTCAAGGCAGAGCTACAAAGATGACTTTTAAGGGCGTATTGTAAATACTCGCACGGTACGGACGATTGGGATCTGGAGTGCGCTTCCTGGCTCGAAGACACGGGATGTGGTGATTGGAAACATTTCGTTGCTCCGAAATTCAATGCCAGGGTATGTTCATTAACCATGGTTTTAAGAGAGCTATTCTTTCTTCAATGATCACCATATGTTGGGATTCCTCGTATTCAATTTTGAACATTTTGAATAGAAACACTTAATTTTCAATTGAAATTTGGTATTTTTTCATAAATTATTTTATTATCTGGAACGAATTCGTATTCGTAGGTAGCGAACGGATTGGCTATTCTGAGCGAGAAACCGATGGAAGGCGAGTATGATCGATATGAGCTGGTAGGGATGGTCGCTGCTATTGGCAATGGTAATGGGCAGTGGACTCATTCAGTCACCCTTGTCAAGGACGATACCGACTCGTAAGTGAAACGGGAGTAGCTTGTGTGTTTGCCTCGTGGTGGATGTTCTGTAGTCCACGTTGTTCACAACCGACGCAGGATTGACTTCGTTTCCGAGCAAGTGGATGCTCAAAATAATCTGTTCATCTGAGATATATCACTGCAGAAAGCTTCCTTGGTGTCTGTTCGATGACGTGCTTGTGACTCGTGTCCATGAAGACGAGGCGTTGCATATCGATCCTCGATGGAAGTTACCGTTGATACTCTGCTATGCGAACGAAAAATGTGGTTTGATGAAGGGTTCGTAAGATGTGCCTACTTCATTTACTTCTTTTTCAATGGTACCGTACTCAGTAACTGAGATTCGCTTGCCTATTCCGTGTTCGGTCTTTCAAACGGACTGCAACCTGACTGGTAACGAGGAAGTGGCCCGTGAGCGAAGAATGCTGGATATCCCTGGTGAAGGCGAGTATGTCGGGATTGACGCTGAATTCATTAACGTTGGCAATGTAAGCTCAAGTTAATGCCCAAAGCGTTGGAGTGTTAAATTAGTCTTTTCCAACAGGAACATGGAAGAAAATCGGTCGGAAGAGTTAGCTGTGTGAATTCTACCGGTGAACAGGTCCTCATCGATGACTACGTGGTCACCTGTGAAGGCGATGTTGTCGATGACTATCTCACTCAATACAGGTCCAATTTGCAACAGTCGATAATATCCTATCTATGTGTTTTGCACTTCTCAAAATTTTACCGTATTAGCGCCGGAATTATGCGCACGGGATATGGACGAATGTATGACGTATAAGACATTAATTATAATTTGCACTTTCACGGGATGCGCCTCCAGAATTTCGTATCATCGACTACTATTATAGTTATGAAAACTACGTCGGCAGGGAAAGCTGGTCCTCACTTGGTTTTGCCCAACGATTATATACGTATGAAATGTTCGTCTAAATTCTGTATGACTCCGTGTTTTGCGTGCTTTGCGGCCCTGTTTTCAAAAGAAACCGCTACTGCTGAATGTCATCTCCAGTTTCTCAATCATGGTAACAGCAGGGTGGCTACAAACATTTACAAAGCTGCCATTATCACTTGCGACCGTGCCGAGCCCCTCGGCCGAAGTTTTTTGGTTAACTGAAGATACGTGTCAGTGGTGAGCAACTTTAACAACTGACTGGCAGCTGAAACGGGCTTAAATGCGCAAGAGAAGGTGCTACCTAGACACCTGGGATGGGTCATTGGCATTGACGGAGCTTACTTAACTGAGTAATGATTACCACCTATGGATTTTATCTTATTTGCTGCTCATTTTACTCAAAAAAAATTACCAACTTTTGAATGAGATAGCACGATACATTCTTTTTAGTGGAATAATGGAGGACGATCTCGATCCGAGTAAATCAACGAAACATCTTACAACCTTGAAGCGAGTGTATATGAAAGTGTTACATCTGATAGAACGAGGTTGTATTTTTGTCGGGCACGCCTTAGTCAACGACTTCTCTACGCTTAACATTCATGTTTGTTTTTTGTAAAGGTTCTTTTTTATAATCCCCCCCCCCTTTTTCATTACTGTGTTTCTCTTTTTAATTTCAGATTTTCAAGGATTCTTTTAATGATACTTGTTTAGGTTCCACCGAAGCAAATGATTGATACTGTGGAGTTGTTTCGGGTGCCACAACAACGCCTTTTCTCTCTTCAGTTCCTTGCATGGCATCTGCTTGGTAGGCCAATAAATCTTTAGTTGTTATAGCCGAAAATCTTCCGAACTACTTCGTTTGAACTTTTTCGGATCTTTGATGCTACTTTCAGACGTGCTACAGTTTCTATGTTCACACTAATGCTCAATAGATTTCTAAGAATTTCCTTTTTCTCAGGCGAAAAAATTCAAGTGGGGATTCACGATTCCGTTGAAGATGCTCGTGTGGCTCTGAAGCTGTTCAGGAAGTGGGAAGAACTAAACAAAGATGGTGCGTTCACAACTGGCAATAAATTAAGGTTTCATTGCTGTTTTGTTTCAAATTGTTTGCATCTCTTAAAGCTCTAACTTTTCCATCCTGAAAACGTACGGTTTTCTGATCCTTCATAGTTGTTTATAGGCACTTTGGACAGCGTTTTGAACACGCTCTACACAACGGGTAAGCAGCTGGGATGGCGCGTTGATCATGCACCACATTCGAAAAGCAGCTCTCCGCTATCAGAAACTCCCATGGCTGGCACATCGCCGCCTTTAGAGTGAGTTGCGCTAAGTTTCGAGAAAGTTGCAGAGAAATGAGGGGATGGTGTATCGTTATACCTTGCTACTCTCTGTAGTATTTCTGGGAATTCAGCGCAAGTCGTTTTTGTTTTCGAGTTGGATTGTTACTCATCTCAACCGATTGTAGGTATTCTAGAAGGTGTTAGATGAGGTTCGTGTATTTAAGTTTTGTATAGGTGGTAGCGGGCAGTGTATTATTCTCGTGCTTAATTGGTTCTGTTTTGTATATATATCTCATATTTTTAACATTTTCTAAATACTGGTGCACAATATCAGCGGACAAGCTGGTCTTCGCAATCTCGACAGAAAACCTCACTGTGATGTGGTTCTGATTTGTTATCACTTTGTGGCAATGAATGTTTCTTATTTGTACTTCAATATTCGTTACACTGAGGCAGTTAAAAGCTGAGGAATCTTTCTCGAAGAGTTTGATAGCTTTTCCGAGTTGAAATAGTGTGCTTTCGTTAATGGCTTGTGGTGTAACTAGTGCTCTGTAGATTTAACAGTGAACCGATCCTGAGGCAGCTAGTGACATCAGATTTCGCCATCTTCCTGGAAATGGAGCCCATTTGAATATTTGTTATAAGAAATGGGAAATGATTTCAGTTCCAAATACAATTGCGAAGGTCCTCCACTCACCTGCGGAATCACCGCATAAATCAGGATATCTCTCTCGGATAGATCCAATTGAGCTCGTAGCAATTCTAAAGATTTGAGACTTACGATCGCGCATGTTGAAAAGGAAGTTCTTCGGGGTTGCATCTCTTGGCGCAGGCCTCGCATCCGACTTCTGTTGGTAGTCCCAGTGTTTTGAATGTTTACGGGTCCTATAAATGATTTGCGGCGACCAGCCTGGTGTTCACTTTGTTGTTCTGCTTTTGTTCTTCTAGGCGAGACCAAATCAACGAATCCAAGGGATGAAAGGCTTGGTCAAACTGGGCAGTTACCAATCCGGGACTCCATACCCAGACCATGCGTATAAACGCACTTCAGAGCAGCTAGACAATATGTTAAGATCCTTGTAGGTGCAAATTTGCGCTCTCTTTTGCCATACTGCTTCTTTTGCTTTTCTCTTACACCGCTTCTGGCAAGATTAGAGAAAACGATTCCATCCTAGCGTGTTCGCCGCCGTCATGAAGTAATCTGTCGGCAGCGGCGGCAGCGCGATTTTCGAAACTGCGTTCCATCTAAGCACCGCCCCTCAACTGCACGACATTTGCAGGGATGTCCCGTCGTGAGCGGAAGCGACGAGGCCGCTGGGAAACCTACAACTCCGAATTCAACTCGGAAGAAGGTTTTTCGAACAACTCTGTGGACAAGCAAGCCGAGAAAGAAGTATCGGCTCCTGGTCAGTCAGCTTGAGCTCGATAGCCATCATGAAAAATACTGATTGTTGAGTGTCGGAAGTGCTTTACGTAGATTACCAAGTAAAAAAATAGTTGGATGAATAGTCAAAACTGCGTAATTCTGTCTTTGCAGCTAGAAAGAGTATCAATGAAAAAAATAAGGAAAATGTTACGTTGTTGTAATAATAATAATGAGAAAGTTATTTGATAACGTGACCAGTGTTATATCCCATCAATTCATGCTTATAATAATCTATTGGTGACTTATAAAGTATTTTTAAGAGAACTTAAAAACAAAGGAAAAAGATAAAGGCACCATATTACAGTTCCAAAAGCCGCGTCTCAGAATCTGGGAGGTGAGAATGTTGCAGTCATCACGGATGAATTTGGTGGCAAGGACTATCGGTCCGATATGCCCTTGAAGGTAACCACTATTTTTTTAGTTTTCAACACAGCAATAGATTTTGTAGTCGAAGCATACCATAGCGGTGTTCTTATGAGTGGCTTGGATCATGTTAATTTCGCTGAGAGGCCTGACCTGTTTACCTTCTTTTTTAGTAATGGAAAGATACTTCGTTACTGTTCAATTTGTTTTTTTTTTCAAAATATGCCCGGCATTGGGTCAAGCAGCAGATGTTCTTTTCTACTTTGTGCGACTGGGTAACCCTGATAGGTTAAGCTGTCCTTGGAGCGGCTTCATGGAAAATCCTTCATATTTGTTCAAAGGTGCTGCTGTATCCATATAAGTTCGTGCTTGGATCTCAGAGTGCCTATGCTGGTAGCCAAAGTTAGGTGCTGGACCCTTTTCCGTCTTGAACGAGGAGAGGAGCTCAGACCTTCGATGAGTCTGTACTTGAATCAAAATAGGAAACCCGGCTGAATCTTCATACGGTCTTCTTCAGGCTGATCATGCATCTCGTCCATTATGGGTAGCTCCAGATGGGCATATATTTCTCGAGTCGTTTAGTCCTGTTTACAAGCATGCACGGGACTTCCTGATCGCAATATCTGAGGTATGTTGACGCGCTGATGCTTTGCTTTATGTATATAAAGCCATTGTGGTAGATTTTCTTCAACTTTTACGTGACTGCCTAATACGTGTTCACTAATATCATGGTCTCCGAACTTTGGTTTAGTATCCTTTTACGCTGTTATTAAGTGCCTCACTAGTTTTTTAGAGAGCTATTTTGTACCTTTTCACCCATAAATCTGTAGGGTTTCTGCCCCTCTTAACTCCCATCGTACGTTCATTCGCCTTAGCTCGAATAAGTTTTCAGCCTGTCTGTCGACCTGAACATATTCATGAGTACCAACTTACTGCATATTCCTTATACGCGGCAGTTTCTGTTGGGTTACAGACGAATGATATCATTGAATATTTGGAGCGACTTAGCAAAAGCTCTCTACCGAAGGGAATCGTCGAGTTTATCAAGGTTTGTTTCATGCTTTTTTTGCGACTATTCCTATGATGCTTGGAACTACATTCATCAAATTTCTTTTATTGAAGATGTGCACTCTCAGCTATGGGAAAGTGAAGCTGGTGTTGAAACATAATCGCTATTTTGTTGAGTCTCGCCATTCAGACGTTATCCAAAAATTACTGAAAGATAAAGTGATACAGTCATGCATACTTGAAGAGGAGAAACCAGTAGAAGAAACTCAGGTCAGCTATTCAAATATTTATTATGGTTGCGGACATTGTTGTACACAAAGACTTGCTGGACTGCACTAAATGTTTTCTCGTTAGGTGTCACTAGTTATCAAAAATGTCATCAAAAATTTGGTGGCATTGGGTTGTACCCGTCTGAGTTCATACACAGTTGCAATTTGCGGCCAACATTTCTTTCTTGTTATACTTGAAGATATGTGCGCCGTGCACGGTATTGTTCGCTTTTCACTTGATGGATTTCAGACTCAAATTGAAAAGATCAATTTCCCTCAAGAACAAAAGAAAGAAGAGGACAAAAAGCCAGAAAGTGGTGATGATGTGAGTACCTGTAGTGTAGATCTGATTGTTTCGTCTTTGCTGCAATTGTTTTCGCTCTTCTTTCTTGTCTTTCATTTTGCTAATGTTCAATGTTCCAAACTTTTCTTTTTTTTCAGGCATTTCTGTTTCAGGTCCCTGAAGATATTGGGGAATTGTATGGTAAAATGGATGGAGATGACGAAGAAGATGCGGAGATTCGCAGCCTGCAATTGCTCACATTCGAGATTAAGCAGGTGATCTTTACAGGGCATGAGGATCCCGACTCTTAGGAAGGGGGTCGTCAAAATCTTTGATCGGATTCATTGATGAAGGAGTGTAATTTGAGATTTCTAATGCGTCGTACACCATTNTCCTGCGATATGTCCAGAAAAGGGTTATGTTTCATCGAGAAATTGGTGCACAACCCGCTTCTTATAAAGTTTTGCTACGCACCCGCACGTAGATATATTGCCACCTCACCCGTCAGTTCCGCATTGTATGTTTGACCCTGCTTCCCATGTTCGACGTACGGCTTTTATTGAAACTACTGGGTCTCTTCTTTACTCTTCACTTTTTACATGCCTTGTCATTCAATCTAACTCTTAACTTTTCACTTTAACTTTTCTTCGCACCTGGTTTTCCTTTTTGGAATAGTAGCATTGATAATACTAAGCTATCATTATAATAGGAAAGCATTGAAACGGTCCAAAAGCGTTGCATCGAATTGGAATATCCACTATTGGCGGAATACGATTTTCGAAACGACACCATGAACCCGAATCTCGGCATTGATCTGAAACCATCGACAACTCTACGTCCATACCAAGAGAAAAGCTTGCGTAAAATGTTCGGAAACAGTCGTGCAAGGTAAATTATATGTTAGAGACATGAAAACATCGTCTTCCATTCTATCAATCAGTTTTTGTGTTTAGATTTGTCAATTCTTGAGGTGTCTATCTTAATAGAAAAAGATTCCAGATCTGGAGTAATTGTACTGCCTTGTGGTGCAGGAAAAACCCTTGTTGGTGTCACTGCAGTCACTACGGTCAACAAGCGCTGTCTGTGCCTTGCCAACTCCAATGTGTCTGTGGAGCAGTGGAGAGCTCAGTTCAAGGTAGAAGAAATAATAACTTCGTTTGTTTATCTTAGCATTTAAGTCTTTTTTTGAAGCTGTGGTCTACAATTAGCGACAAGCAAATTGTCAGATTCACGCGTGAAGCGAAGGATACAGTACCGCATGGTCCCGATGCGAGCAAGGTATTACATGGCCTTATAAGAAGTCTATATCAGTTCCTGGAGGTTGTAAGACTCACCTTTAGCCTGTCGTTTGTATCAGTACCTATTCGATGGTGGCCTATGCAGGGAAACGAACCTTTGCTGCTGAAGAGGCGATGAAGTTCATTGAGAGTCAGGAATGGGGACTACTCTTGTTGGACGGTGAGTGTTTGATTACTGAGGAACTTTTTTTTTGTTGCAACCATTAGGTATTAGTGACGATTACCGAAATTCATTGATGGCCTTGATTGATTCAGAGGTACACACAATCCCTGCGAAAATGTTTCGTCGAGTGTTGACCATTGTGCAAGCTCATTGTAAGCTCGGGCTTACTGCCACACTTGTTCGAGAAGATGACAAAATCACCGATCTCAATTTCCTCATAGGTAAGGTATGAATAACATTTTGGAGTTTCTCCAGAATACAAAGAAGTAAGTCGCTGCGTATTGTGTGTGTTGTGACGTCTTCTTTTAAATCTACGTCGGTAAACACTTTCCTATTGCGACTGACGTGATGATTTAATTGGTTTGGTGAATCTACGAGCTATCTCAATTCACATTTTTATCTTTATCATTTAAAGGACCAAAAATTTACGAGGCGAATTGGATGGAGCTTCAAAAAGCTGGTCATATTGCTAAAGTGCAGTGTGCTGAAGTTTGGTGTCCGATGACTTCAGAGTTCTATGCATACTATCTGAGGTATCTTCCGTTTCTCATGTCTAACTTCTGTTTCTAATCTTCGAAGAAAGGCTGCCTTTTCAGAGCTCAGATTGCTCGACGTTTGTTACTAGCCGTGATGAATCCCAACAAATTTCGTATTTGTCAGTTCCTAATCAAATTCCACGAGCGCCGTAATGATAAGGTGAGAAATGTCGTTAATTACTATCGAGTATCCCTGGGTAACATGACGCTCCTAATAAGTTTAACGGTTTTTACTTTATTCTATTAATGTAGAGCTTATGATTGACAGATGGATTGTAGTAGCAGCGAAATGGAAAAATGACGGTTTCTTGTACAATGCAATTTCTGTAATTACGATGACATGGCAGAGCATCCTCTTAGCGCCATTGTCATTTGATCATTTGACCTTCAATCTTTAGAAGTTTTTGAAATGATTCGTATTGAATTTACTGGGATTGCTGCATACATAACTCAGCAGACATATATCCCTTGCCTCGATTATCTAATCCTAATATGTGGTGCTTTGTCCTCTTATTTTTCTCGTCCTTCCCCAGTGCTTAAATTTTTGTGTAAACGTACATTTCTATTCCTAATGCCGAGCAGTATTCAGATCATCGTCTTCTCAGACAACGTGTTTGCGCTTAAAAAGTACGCCATCGAGATGAACAAGCCTTTCCTTTATGGAGAAACCAGCCAAAATGAGCGGATGAAGATTCTGCAGAATTTCCAATACAATCCACGTGTGAACACAATCTTCGTTTCTAAGGTTTGCAGCTAACAATAAGTGAATACCCACAACGATGATGTTTCTGTCGGTTGCGCAGAAAGACTCGAAATGTTTGGTTTTTTTCTATTTTGCAATGCTTATCTTACCACTAGAGTGCCAAGTGAAAGGCCGAACGTAGTTTTGCAACTGGGTGCTACTACTGGCGAAAACCCAGACGGAACATTTCTTGTGGCACACCGTTACTCCATGGAGCCCAGATTAGGCGTTCTTTTGCTTCAAGTTGATGCTTCACCATAGTACTTTTAGCTTATTTTTTGTTGCGATCGATTTGGTCCGCAGGATTTTACATTGCTTATGGGGAACATTTTGGATAATGAGCTGCGCTCTACTGAGGATTCAGCCTTTCATTTCCGAGATACTGGAAAACCTTTCTGTCGTTGCCTGTCGTTTGGAGCTTCGGCAAATGTCTTCTGAGAACGCCAAACGGGTGTCAGAGGGTGAACCCTGAGAAAGCAGTTCGAAACTCTTGTATACTGTGCCGCGAATATGAAATAGTCTCTTTCGTTTTGGTCTGAAGACCCCTCTTTGATACAAGCTGTTTTCACGCATTTATGTTTAGAATAATCGTTTCGCGAATTGTGGTGCCATGCATTTAGGTGGCAGACACATCGTTCGACTTGCCTGAGGCTAACGTTCTTATTCAAGTCTCGGCACATGGCGGTTCGCGAAGACAGGTTGGTTTAATTTCGAAACTTGCTTTGGACTTAGTTCCAATCTTTTTTCCTTTTCATTTAGAAGCATGAATCCGATTTGCTGTAGGATGACCAGTTTCATCAGCAGGGTTATGAAATGGTATGTAAGAGGGTCTCACTGTACCTAATCTAGTTTTGATGATGTTACGCCACGGGCCGAAAATTGTGGAACCATTAAATTCGTTTCGGTATGCGCAGCCTCACTGCGTCTTCTTCGAAAGGAGCGCATTGAGGTTCTGACCATAGAAAGCGGATAGTTGTCCTTTTATCCTTGTACTAGCTTCGAAATTTGCACGCAGGCTATTGAAGATATTAACACCACCTCTGCCTTCTTGCCCAACAGCCTATCCTCCTGGCTCAATGAGTTGCCATTTTACACCGTTTGAAGCTGGGCTCATTAAATGGATTCACTTCAGGAAGCGCAACGTTTGGGTAGAATTCTACGTGCCAAGAAACATTCCACAGATCAGTTCAATGCGTTCTTCTATTCACTTGTATCTCAGGATACCGTCGAAATGGGTTATTCACGTAAAAGGCAAAGGTATGTATGTTCAGCTCACTCATTTTTTCATCACACTATGCTTAGTGTGAAAATCCAACTAATTTCCGTTATTTCTAGACTGTAACGCAATATTTAGGTTCTTGGTAAATCAAGGTTATGCCTACAAGGTTGTTAACAGACTCCCCGGAATGGAGAAAGAGGATCTCAAACTCGGAACGAAGGTATGTTTGTCTGCTTGCTTTCTTTTTTCGTTTTCATAGCTTTGTTTATTTCCTCCTTTTTAGGATCCTTAAGAGGACCTACTTTGATTTTTGCTACTTGTCTTCATTCTTGCCCTTCTTTTAAAGTTGTAGTTCCACTGAGGAAAGCTAGCATTCGCAACACTAAGCTGTCAGACATCCCAACTGTCGTTGATCCCACCAGCCAAGTTGTAGTTGAATTACGACATTAGTGCAGCTACGATTTCAAAAGGGTCAGAGGTTCGGCGTAGAATGAACAGATCGGACCACGTCACACTTCTGTCTTCTTATAAATTGTGACATTTTCAGTTCCCCATATTTTGTAAGGGGAAGCAGTTACTGTCACTGCTCATGATGCAGCTCACGTTGATATTATCAAATACCAAGTAATATTCCTTGTAGACGACCCAAGCGTCTGTTTCCATCTAAACTATTTACTTGCCACCAAATTCGTCTGGCAAGATGAACGTACTGCCTCGGGAACACGCTGGCAGCAGCCATTGCGTATGCCAAAATTTAGTTTGGAACCACGAGACCATCGGGAACGTGTGGCGATATTCTACGGGAACTATCCTGGCTCTATACGTCGTATTTTCGGTGTAGGATCGAAACTTCTCCGTGGTCGTTAAAAACTTGATTTTGATGATTTTGTTCTGCAGGAGGCTCAACTACAACTTCTGCAACAAGTGCTTGCCGCATCAGATGCAGACGCTGAGGAAGAAGATGTCAAGGAAGAAATGGCTGATGGAACCATCAAAGTACTCTTCCATTTTTTTTGAAGTCCTGCTTTCTGCTAAACTTAAGTTTCAGGTCAGTCGTAGAGATTCTACAATGGCTTCCGTATCTGGTGGTTCCAGTGTGTCGTACGCAAACAAAACGAAGGTAGGCTTTGAACTTTTATTTATAGAAACAGAACCAAGGCTTCAAAAAAAATTTTTTTTTATCGTTCAATTCTCGTAGGAGAATGGTTTGATCAAGAAATCTAGTGGAGTTCCATTTGAAATGGCTCCAGATGGAAAGTAGCTGTGTCGAACGTCGCGAGAAAACTAGAGATAGTTGCGCCCTGACAATCCTACTTACTATAAAGCGTCTGTCTGTCGTCTGTCGTCTGTCTGTACGTCTGTCTGTCTGTCCTGCTGTCTGTATGTCTGTCACGAAATTCCTTAGCTCCTTCAGATGTGCCTGGAGAGACCGGGTCAAGCGTGGGATGGGTGGGCCATGTCACGAGAAGTATAAAGCACACATCAGCTTAGCGGAGCCCCGCCCACAGTGGGCGTGGCGTGCATCGAAATGAGCTGTACTGAGGACCATGATTTCAAATCCAGTCACAAGACGGCTTCAAAACTGGGGTGTAAAGGTGGCTAGAGGTGTGCATTGGTAAGTTTGACACAACTGGGGAGACCCACCACCGATCGGCAGGGCGTTCACCGAAAATGCAATGCTACATGAAAACATTAATAACTCGGTTTGGAGAAAGTCAGCAGAGCAGGAAAAAATTGATGTGGAAGAAGCATTGTCGAAGGTGTCCTCAGCATAAATGACGTCAGCGGAGGCCCGCCCACAGTGGGCGGAGCGTGCCTCGAAGCTCACATCCCTTCTTACATTTATATACGAAAATCCATAACTTCGGTTCCCATGGACTTAGAGAGTTCAAATTTGGTAGTAGTACAGGTGGCATGATGGGAAAACTTGCGGTGGGTGGCAGAACCAGACTCCACCCACATGAGTTGGGGTTGAGCGGAAACTCGTAAATCCGATAAAGTTCTATAATGAAAAACAGCTCATGTGGCTCCGTTTCTCGTGGCTAGAGCCCCTAGCGCACACGATAGCGTGCGTAGCCGCCTGGTTCAGTCCTAGAAAAACAGAATTTTAGATAATTTGGATTAGTTGTAAGACGAAAATCAGTAAGTGTACAAGTGAAGAGTGGTGCTAGTAACACCCCTATCACCCCTATAACTTCTCCTGTGCAGCGCAGCACGGTTGCTTGCGTTCGCTCGATTTTGGTCTAACCTTTGCAGACGCACAGCTTTTGTGTATATCCCAGAAAACTACTAGGTTGTTCGGAAAGGAATACGCGTTGAATTTGTCCATTCATTTCTCCACTACTACAGGAGAATTTCAAAACAGTTTTATCTATTAGGAAGAGATTTTCATTGCGCATCTTTTGATATCTTTTTGGCTACGTCTAC